TGCAGATTGTGGAAGGTTTCTCACTGACAAGAAGATTCATGGAAAGATCAATGATGGACTCACCTCCAATCAAATAGTTGCCTTTTCGACATTGGAAGACAATCGACCGACCCTCGTCGACTTTTTGGATGTACTTTGCAAATTCATAAGCACCCATTTGACCTTCTAGCAAGATTTGGCCACCAGCCAATGTTCCAAACGTTCGTGATGGGTGATGACACCACGCTAAATTAATAAGCTTATATTTTTTTAAACGAAGAAATGACGTTGGCATATTTAGGATTAGCTTGAAGGCAGTGATTACGATAGGAACTCTAGGGGTTCATGGTGTAGGTGGGAGTGCTAAATGGAACACCAAAGAAAAAGCAGAGAAATCCGTTAAGAACACGCAAAATAAGATCAAATTCTTTGCACGGTTTGATTTTTGACCATGGAAGAGTAGGGTCAAGAAGGAGGTCGTGGGGACGGTCAAATTGGATTGCCGACATCATGCCAACAAAAGTTCACACGCTCGAGCTTGACTCTAACTGATTACGCATTACACTGAGAAACTAGAGGATATGGCCGCTTGAAGACGAATGCTTCCAAATGAGCTCTATCAAATTTAAAAGCGAATAATGCTGCTTCTACCACTGAAACCAAAACAGAGAGGCGAAGGCAGAGCATAGAAAAAGCTTGGGTCCCTGATGTGCTACAACTGGTGTCCGTTTCGCTGCAAAGGGCTACTCTTCGGCTTCTTCTGGCCCCGGCTACTGCTTCGACTGGTGCATGTTGCACAAGCACTTTATCGCACTCGTTCATTTTGAATTCGATTGCTTGATAAATTAAATTCTCAGAAGCTAATGACCAGTCTACATAAGTCAGAAAAATATCCGGCAATCGAATAAAAAAATAATGGAAGGAAGAAGGTAAGGAAAACCATACTTGGCAGGCACTTGAGGGTCCACCCTCTCTTGTCCACTGACCGAACAGGCATTTGATGGTTTGCTTTTCTTTATTGGGGTAGTAGCTAAAAAAATGTGAATTCAGTAGTTTTAAGGTTTATTTTTTCGAATGAAAACCCAAACCGTGAGCTAGTATTTAGGGTAATACATATAAAATTGGCCGAGGTACGATTCGCTAAAGCATTTTGTCTAGGGAATGGCATCACTGTTGCGACTGTTACATACCCCTTAGCAAATGGTTCATTGGCATTGAAGGGAGGGGTCGGACTCAGCTTCACTAAAAAGACCCTCTCGTTGATAAAGTGAATTAGTCGCGGCTGTTTTGCGCCTCTAAATGCCTCATTAAAACTCAAAGCGCTTAGGACTCCTCCTCCGTCCAGAAGAATTGGTGCTGCTCACATTCGACAGCTTCTCGGTGTCGTACTGTTGACCAGCTGTGCTCTCTCCACTCGGAGCTCTTTTCCCTCTCCGCAACTCAAGTCAGTTTTTATCTCGTTGTCTGCCTCCCGAACTTCTCATCGTAGCATTGAGCAAAAAAGCTCGTGTTTTCTGTTCTTGACGCTCTCTCTCTCTTCTTTTTTTCCCATTCGCGGTCACTTCACATCCCTACTTTCGTTTTCGAGTGGGTACCACATCAACTTGATCCAGCCTTTATCCTCGTTATGCAATTCTTCTTTTACAGGCACATCCACAACCGATTTGACGTCAGAGGGACAGACCACACACGATTGAAAAGTAATGACCTTCTTCAAATGAAGGAAGCCCAACAGGACTGATGTTCCAGATCAGTCTGCCAGCCATTTCGACCAACACTGGAGCTGGGTGCAAGCGTTGTAGACAAAACATGTCTACAAGTAATAAAAATTTCACCGAAAACCCAGAATTCGTCGCAATCAACACTGCCTTGTGACTGGGTGGAATGAACCTCTGACCGGGGTAGGCCATAACCATCCCACGAACCATGATGCTGCTTATGTGGATGGAATGGGTCAAGAATACTAGTTGCAAATGTGGAGACCAAAACTGCTTCGTGGACTTTTCAAGAAAGTCGGTGAGCGGTCCAAGTTGTCAAGAACAGCAGAGAAAAAAGTGGTGGCGCGGAGCTGGCACCACATGGTCCCTGTGTCAAAAAAAGTGTCACAATTGTAATCAAGAAATCTATTTATCCCTTCATGCAAAGTTTCAGAGAAAATTAAAAATGCTGACGCGAATTGATTGGCTACTCTCTTTACTGACAGCGCATTTCCTGCGAGTTTTTACCTCTCGCAACCTGATTGAGAAGCCCACATAGCAGTTTTGGTCTCAATATATGTGACCAGTATTCTTGACCCGATATAATTACCCAAGTCTATTTGGAGTTCCACGCGTTGAAGGCCGTACTTGGTTAGTTACACAAGAGACGCAAATGGTTCCTCCTACTCCTCCCCCCAACTGTATTTAGGCATAAGACTTTTGATTTATGTTCTAGAGATTCGAATTCTCGAAATGCGGTAAATTAAGTTAGTCCAATAGCAAATACAAATAAACAATAACCATACCCTCCATTGCATTCATACTTGGCGATTGCTCCATGGGACGATTTCGAGAACAACACCCGAGCATGTGCCACACGAGGCGGCCAGTCGTGGCAATTCACTAGATGAATGAATAACAAATAGATAGTTATCATTCATCTACAATTAAGTATTGAAAGATTAAAAGAGCAGCGATTCTGGAAGAAAAGTAGAAAAAGGATTGTCTATCACAACCACACACATAAACAGTCAAGTCCTGCGCATATTTGGGCTCCATCATTTGATCATTTGATTGATCATCACTATTGAATTAACCCGATAGCTCAAGCGCACATCAACTTCAAATCTAAGTTCAGATGGTAAAAAATGAGAGATTCGGAAAGTTAAGGACGATTCCTCTCTCGCTATCGCTAGAGGATCTCAAGCTTTTCTCTGGTACATTTCTTTTCACGCGACACCGAAAAGAGTTTTGCATGGTTGATGTACTATGCTGCAAAAATAATTACTATTCTGATCAAAAGAGGTCTTACACGGTGAGCAGATGGGCACGTGACTCCATGTTCCGTTGTGGCATTGCATCTGCGTTTGCATATTGGCCTCATGTCGTTGGTCACAAAGCAATTCCACTGTGGCACCTGAAAAGTGGAACCAACAAATACGGTTACCTCTAGGATTATTCGGGTGAATATCAAGACCAAGGCTGACTGGGGCAACACCCCCAGATCAAATTTGTGGGGTCAGAGCGGTCGATAATGGAATAGTGGATGCTGAACCGACTGAAAATGAAAAACGAACCAAAACAGACCGCCGGCCGCCAACAAGTATAGCCTTTCTTTCTCACTAAAATGAAGAAGGAGCGGAACCGGAAGAGTTTTCCGAACTTGCTTGCTCCACGGCTCCATAAACGCGCGCGTGTTTAGATCAGCCGCGATCTTTACCTTTATCTTTATCATTATCAGTTGCCAGAGAAGTAGAAATAAAATGTAGTAATGTGACGTATTAAGAGCAATCAACTGACATATAAATTAAGTTAGAAAACGGGAAAAAGGAAGAAATAAGAAAAATTGGAAGCAACAAAAACAACTTAATCAAGGGACACCGAAATGACGATTGAGGCACACTTCCTTCTGTTATATCATATTGCCCATCAGTAATAAGGGCTCTTTGAAGAAGTAGTATGGGGAAAAAGGTTACTGAACAAAAACATGTGCACACTACTGTTCGTATGAATGTTGACAAGTGAACGACAAGTGGATGGTGCTAGGGATAACACCACTCGACACGGGCACAGGGGCACGCATGCCGAACCTGGGACCAGATTTTCGGATGTTAGGTATTCCCTACCCCTAACAATCCAGCCCACAGGCCCACGATCCACGTGCGTACCATGGGGTGCGCGACGTAACACGTCCATATCTTAAAGGCAGCGATTACGATAAAGTGGGAGCGCATCGGGGAAGCATATGCACCACACGAATCAGTTACTTGGCTGCCAGGAAGCGAGGTGTAGCGCTTTCACGACGAAAGGTGCGCTGGTTGCTGAGCAGGACTTCGAAAGCACTCCGCCCCCAAAAGCGATCCGCCCACTAGTTTAGTTGGTGATTTGGACGAGCTGCGTTGCCAGCAGCGGCACAACTGGAGCAACTCGATTGTTTTGGCATGGTGTTACCAAACGCGTTGCGCTGAACTCGTTCATACGTCCGCTTTCTGAGCTGTCACCTGTTCATGAGTGAAAACCAACGGCCAAAAAAGGGTCCCATTTTGCGTTTTTTTGACGGATTTCTCCGCTTTTTTTGCCACCGACGTACCACTGAGCACCACCACGTCTCCTCTAAACCCTTCTTGAACCTATCGTAGTCCACCTTCGGGCCATTGCGCGGCACTTTCGAGACGCGACTACGCCACATCCGTGATAGTCGCGGCCTACCCTATCTCACTCACCGAGTATATTTTTCGACGTAACACCTGCTCTGGGTGTTGCTTTGAGATCGACCTGCGGGTTTGAAATAGTCAGCTGTCTACACATTGTATACAACTCAATGCTACCATGGGATTCAATGGGGGCACCACAATTTCGCTACAGTATTAATTGGGTTTTTTCTCAAGTCTCAATTTTATTAGTATTCGTTTCCGAGAGCACACGATCTGCAAGCTACCACATGAGATATTCTTTTCTTCTTTTTGAGTATCATTTCATTGTGGTCTTGTTTAAGCACTCAGCCGCCCTGCAAACCAGACAGTGTCTACTTGGAGAAGGAAAGGAGAAAGGATCTGTGATCCGCCCTTATTCTTCTCCTCCGACAACCCACACCGGTCCTCTAAACCCCCTCCCACCACGCCCCCTAATTCCTTCCCCGCTCTTCACAGTCAACGTCGCAACACTAACAATAACACCAGGGGAGGGGTGATCACATACTTCCCCTAAAGGGTGGAGATCAAGAAGGTTTTGAAACAAGTACAACGATCGGTTGACCATACTACTGTCTCATGAATGTGAATGCCGTTTCATTTGCAAAGCGGTCAATGCAGTCACCACTCCTGCGCCCAATAAGTGTGACTTGAAATGTACACAAACACCCCTTATGGGAGTAAGCGGAACTGCTGAGGTATAAATTTCTCACCTGAGGCGATCAGTTGGTTTTCCACTTTGCCTTTGATGCGACCATTTTCCACGCGTGGAATTTTGCAGGAGCCTGTGAAATAATCACCCTTTGTTGGAAGGATAGTAGGCCATTACTTTAGAAGCAGCCAAAGTCTTCAGATAACGTTTCTCACCAAGGCATTTCGGCATGGGATGACTCCATTGCCCTGACTCCATGCACTTCGCCATTGTCGCCCCTTCATGAGACATTGTTTCAAGGCACCTGAACGGTCATGGAAAGCCGTATTAGTTGTACAGAGTATGTACATTTTTTCACTCATTGCTGAAAAGAAAGCACATTCACGACTATCATTCTGTGGTATTCTGTACTATAAGGTGTTGGCTCAACACAATGTAGTGTGCGGTATTCCTAGTGTAGTTCCTTTGTATTCAACTGATTCAAGAGCGCATACAGGGGTGGCCAAAAAAAGAGACATTTTGCTCATGACGCACATCACCAAGCTTTTCCTCGCCTGGAGCGCGGTGGTCGATGGATTTGGCAAAATATTACTCAGATGTACCCCAATAAGAAGAAAGAGGCCCTCGTTCACTTCTTAGAGAACTTGTAGCCGCTCAAAAATCTGACCCTCAGACAATTTGCAAAGAATTCGCAGAGCAAAACGCGGCCTTTTAATGGGTGGTCCACGGTACGACATAGATGTCAGCCTATTTTCTCAAAACACCTGTTGAAGGGTGCGGCATGTCATTTGCCGCGCGCGGTGACACACTCGAGTTTTCCACCAGAAGGAAATTCTTCGCACCTATGTATCCCACTTATGACTCACCTGAACGTAGCTACGGCCCCATAGTACGTCTCGCCTCCTTCGATATATCCGTTACTGAGCGGAGGTAAATTTGGGCAGCGAATTTCTGAAAAGCATCCAAGGGTCAAGGATTATTTCATAGTTCACTACTTCGACTCTGCTCACCTTCGCATTTCGGCTCTACTCCTGCCCATATGCCTTCGGCAAGACAAATACGCTGCACTTGTCCTACTAATCGATATCCTTCTTTACACGAATATGTCACAGTTGATTGGTATGTCAGTGATGTGCCAAGAACTCTTCCGTGCAGAGGATCAGGTGGGCGCGGACATTCCGTAGCTGCAAGTTCTCATAAAATGGGATATGATTTTGCAGTCAATCTCTTCTCAGCTTCCTTTTTTTTCATTGCGACGCTATCTTACGCTACTACTCTCATTGTAAGGTGTAACACTAGCTGTTCGAAATGCATGCCTGTGCCTATAATGGAATTTAGGCGCTATATAACTGGGGTGGGCACGCCCAGCTTTTCAGGCATGTCAATTGACTGCCCTCACCTCCCACCACCCCCCCCCC